TTAGATTTCATTTTATTAAGAAACTCATTATATAATATTTTTTATATTAATAAATCTCGTCTAATTAGATTTTCTTTTATTAAAAAATTCATAATAATAAATAGATAAATAGGTTTATTTGAATTTTTTTGGGTAGATTTTAGAGTTTTATAGAATTTTTTTTATATATAAAAACTCTATAAAAATTAACTATTCTTTTTATATCAATTAATAAATATTTTATTACATAGATTTAGAGTTTTATACAGTTTTTTTATTATTACTTTATAAAACTCCTTTCATATCAATTAATAAAAACTAGCTATTCTTCTTATATCAATTAATGATTATTTTATTAGATAGATTTTAGAGTTTTATAGAGTTTTTCTTTTTATAAAAAAAAAAAAAATACTAAAACTCTTTCGCAAAGTTTCTGTATTTTACTCTCGAATTCTGAATTTGTAGAATTCTTAATTTCTGTATCCCTTCCTCCTTAGCACTATTTATAGACATTTTGGATTAATAGGATGATGACATGTGTGCTCTCCTAATAATGACATAATCATAATTGGGCATAGCCGATTATATTGTGATAATTATCCAATTTTTTTTTTTTTAGTGTTTTATAGAGACTATTTTTATATCAATTAATAAATATATTTATATATAAATATAAAAAATTATTTTATTTTCTTTAAATATATCCTTGTCCAATTAAATTTTCTTTAATTAAAAAAACTCATAATAAATAGATAAATGCAGATTATATGTAATAAAGTTTTTTTAAAAAAATAAAACAGATAATTTGTGGTAGAGTTTTATAAAAATTATTTTCTTTTGTTTAAATATATTCTTGTCTAATTAGATTTTATTTTATTAAAAAACTCATAATAAATAAATAATGTGATAGATTTTTATAGAAAATAAAACAGCTAATTTGTGTTAGATTTTATAATTTTTTTTATTTTCTTTAATTATATTATTATTTAATTATATTTTCCTTTATTAAAAAAAAATCATAATAAATATGTAAAAAGGTAATATGTGTTAGATTTTTGTAGAAAATCTTTTAAAAACTTTTTTTTATACGAATTAATAAATATTTTTATATATTTATAATTCTTGTCTAAGTTGATTACCTTTTATTAAAAAAAACCCATAATAAAAGATAATTTGTGGTAGAGTCTTAGAAAAATTATTTTATTTTTTATATCAATTAAAAAATATTTTTTTATATTAATAGTTCTTGTCTAATTAGATTTTCTTGTATTAAAAATCTCATAATAAATAAATGGGTAATTTGTGTTGGAGTTTAATAGAAACTATTTAAAAAATTCTTTTTATATCAATTAATAAATATTTTTTATATTAATAATTCTTGTCTAATTAAATGTCATTTTATTAAAAAAAAACTCATAATAAATAGATAATTAGGTATTTTGTGTTACAGTTTTATAGAAATTCTTTCGAAACATTTTTTTTATATCAATTAATAAGTAATTTTTATATTAATAATACTTGTCTAATTAGATTTCCTTTTTTTAAAAAAAAAAAAAAAAAACGCATAATATATTGATAAATAGATAATTTGTGTTAGTGTTTTCTAGAAACTTTTTAAATATATCTTTGTCTTATTAATGTAAAAAAATATTTATTAATTCATATAAAAAGAGTTTTTAAAAGGTATAAAAAAAACCTCAATAAAACTCTAAAATTTACCTAATAAAATTTAAATTAACCTATTTATCTATTTATCATTATGAATTTTTTAATAAAAAATCTAATTAAACAAGAATTATTAATATAAAAAATATTAATTATATTAATAGTTCTTGTCTAAATTAGATTTTATTGTATTAAGAACCTCATAATAAATAAATAAATTAATAGATAATTTGTGTTAGAATTTAATAGAAACTCTTTTTATATCAATTAATAAATCTTTTTATATTAATAATTCTTGTCTAATTAGATTTTTTTTGATTAAAAAACTCATAATAAATAGATAAATAGGTAATTTGTGTTACAGTTTTATAGAAACTTTTTAAAAACCTCTTTTATATGAATTAATAAATAATTTTTTATATTAATAATACTTGTCTAATTAGATTTCCTTTTTAAAAAAAACTAATAAAAAATAGATAAATAGGTAATTTGTGTTAGTATTTTTTAGAAACTCTTTAGATTTATCTTTGTCTAATGTGATAGTGTTTTATTGAAAATAAAATAAGTAATTTGTGATAGAGTTTTATAGAAATGATTTTATTTTATTTAAATATATCCTTATCTAATTGGATATCATTTTATTAAGAAACTCGTAATAAAATATTTTTTATTTTAATAATTTTGTCTAATTAGATTTTCTTTTATTAAAAAATTTAGAATAATAAATAGATAAATTGGTTTATTTGAATTTTATGAGATAGATTTTAGAATTTTATAGAGTAATGTGTCATTTTCTAATAATGACAAAATCATAACTGGGCCGGGTTAATATATTTTTATATAAATAAATAAATATTAAAATATTGAAATACGAAAATACTAAAACACTTTATACATTTTATAATAATATAAATAAATATTTTTGCAAAATAAGAAATGTTGAAAGTTAAATAAATAAGTATAAAGAATCAAAAACTTGACATTTTAAAATTTATTGAAGGTACTAATGGAAGCATCTATATCACAATTCACCTTTTTATTTGTACTGTTTTTGTGCATATGTATAAATTACACATAAACTAGACGATTATTATATGTTGTGGTACTTATGTCACAACGTGTCGGCAAGACAATATTGTCCAAAGGGACCCACCAATGGAATTTATTTGATGATCAACTATGGACCACTTAATTATTGCAACTTGTAGGTGGATTTCCTGAACAATGACGTTAATCTTTCACTAATTAGAATTATTCTAGCAATCTATGATTCCATGCCAAGTTAGGGAGGGTCCACACACACACACACATGTATATATTTATATTAGTATAAATGATCTTTTCTCATAATAGAAATTTTAAAGTTTGTAATTTCTCGTATTAAAGTCTTTCTATTTATTCTTGTAAAATGAAAATCAAAGGTGTAGGACAAGACCTAGAATACGATATACGCATAGTGATACCAAAGAAAAAATAATAATAATAAATAAAAAAATAAAAGTAAGAGATAAATACGACCGAAATATGACAAAAAAAATAATATAATATTTATTATTTAATGTTTTCATTTTATAATATTAATTTGCATTGAATCTCAAAAGTAATTGCAAAACCACCACCACAGTGTCCATAAAGTATTCCAAACGTATTCCTCTTATGTCTAGCGGTGTCCTACCAAAAAATCAAATATTTAAATTTTTATCACGTGATCAGATTGTGTCCCACGCATGTTGATGTGTTACACACACACATGTATACACTGTTACATAAGGATGTCAATTTAGCCCGCCCCGCCTAACTTCTGCTTGGGCCCATCCTGTCTATCCTACCCCTATTTGGACAGGCTTGGGATCATTCTAATTAGGTTAGACTGATGAGTTTGGGACATGTTTGAGATCATTCTAATTAGGTTAGGGGTGAAATTGGGAAGAAAGTTTAAAACCCTCTATTAATAATAAATATATTTTATTATCTATAATATTTCTTTTTCTTTATTTCTTATTATTATTTTGAATTTTTACAATTTTTTTTTTCTTATTATAATTGTTAAATATTTGCCTATATTATTTTTTTTTCACAAATTTTAACTTAAATGTGTTCAAGTTTGAATATTTTTCCTTAAAAATATACAGGGCGACCCAAACCTGCCGACTCTGAAAATTTTTTTTTTTTGTTCATGCCATTTCCCCCAAGAAGTATGTGCTTCTTAACTAGCCCATACATAGATACATAAGATCATAATTGGGCCAAAATATCCCATAATCCTAACATCAAAATTTGCAAGTTTTGATTAAAATTAATGTTCTTAGATTGGAATCCTCCTTACACACTAGAGTTAATTTTGCAGTCATCGCCTTTACCTTAATCACATATATATGAATGGGGTTGGCCACGGCCTCCAAGCTTTTCTATTATAATACATTTCATGTACTATATTTAATTTTTGAAAATCATTTTTATTAATCTCATCTCATGTGATTTTTTGTCGCCATCTCCGTCTCTTATCTTCAATTATAATTAATCTTCTTATAAAATTTTTATTAATTTAACTTTTAACTCTTCTTCGATTTTCTTGTAAAAGAAAAAATTGTCCAAAACACATCTTGTTGGAAGAGCTCCACACCATTTAAAAATAAAACAATTTGAAATCCGAAAATGTGGAATTTGTGGCCAATTTTAACATTTTCGTTGTCTAAAACACACGTTGTTGGAAGTGCTCCACACCATTTAAAAATAAAACAATTAGAAATCCGAAAGTGTGGAATATGTGGCCAATGTCCAATCAACAGACTCCATAAAAAAATAATAATAATAAAAAAATAGGCATATGTATTATCATCATATTGTTGATTAGTTTATTATAATAGCTTCAAATACACGTGTGGGTGCATGATAAGAGAGGGAGATTATTTGTTGTGGAAGCAAATATATCTAGAATCTAATGTCTTGGTTACTAAACAAACTTGCTATAGCTATTTTATTTTTTATTTTTTATTTTTTCCTCTCTTATATATATATATATATAATAATTACCTTGTGAATGACGAAATATATAGGTATAGAAAAAGACAAGAAATGGAGTCAAAGACAAGACGACCACTTTATCTATCTGATCTTTATATTTCTTACTCAGCTAGCTCAGGTCCCCTCCAAACCGTTTTCTACTCGACCTACCAACCAACACCCTCCCCCTAACCCATTCCCCCGTTTGAAGCAAACCCCACAACCATCACCATCATCATCATCATCATCATCATCATCATCAGTACTCTCCCCACTCTCTCTCTAGATCACCTCTCTCTCTCTCTCTCTATAAGGCCAATTCACTACTCATCTACATCAAATATATTAACCACTTAGGAGTTTGCTAGAAAGAGATAAATTTAACCCACAACTATGAGGAAGCCAGCTGATCATTTTTCAGGGAAGAACACCGCCGCCACCACCACCACCACCACCACCACGAACAACAACAACAACAATGGTGGTAGTAGCAACAAGCTTAGGAAGGGTTTGTGGTCACCAGAAGAAGATGACAAGCTTATGACATACATGATGACCAATGGGCAAGGCTGTTGGAGTGATGTGGCAAGAAATGCTGGCTTGCAGAGGTGTGGCAAGAGTTGTAGGCTCCGATGGATTAACTACTTGAGGCCTGACCTCAAGCGTGGGGCTTTTTCGCCCCAGGAAGAAGAGCTCATCGTCCATCTGCATTCCCTTCTTGGCAATAGGTCCTTTCTCTCTCTCTCTCTTTATATATATATATATATGTAGTATATGTATATACGTGTACGTGTATAATTGTATATGTTGTTTGTGTATCTCCTCGTGTGTGTGTATATCTATAGTAATTTACTCCCTTGAGGTTTGGACAAACACTGATCGTTATACCTATGTGTAATCTACATAGAGCTCAAGGGAGATAAGTATAATTTACTCATATATATATATATATATAAGGGTTATCTCACAAAATCTTCTCTGCTTTCATTTTTAGACACTTTACTTCTACACGAGGAAAGATTAAAATTTTGAATAAAAATATCTTAATCAAAATACATTTTAAGTCACTAAATTTTTTAATGTATAAAGATTGAATATTTGAAACGTATTCTGCCTAAGAGCTTTTAATGACTAAGACTACATCTGAAGAAAGAGTTGTGATTTAGGGATTGTTGCAACTTAAAAGGAAGAAAATACCTTTTATACTAAAGGGATACAGTATTGTTAATTCTAGATATCAACTAACAGTATCGTAACAATTTTTCCTTGTATAAAAACTTTTGGTAGTTAGTTAAGAAGAGGGTAAAGTGAAGCTACTCAAATAAATATAATAAGTTGACTAATAATTCACAACGAAATACCCAAAAAAATAAAAAAAAAACTGCATTCACTTGGATTTCACATGATATCACCTCTTTCTTTTTTATTTTTTATTTTTTTTTATTATTATTATCTCATAATATTTATTGATAATTTTTTTCCGGATTTACTTTTTCGTTTTCCTTTTTTTAACAGAATTTCTCAATTACTTATTTATGAGTGTACATGTATATTTATGCATGCATGTAAGGTGGGGAAGTCAAATAGGGACGAGGCAGGGCAATTTTCCCCACTCAAGTTTTTGTTAGTATTTTATTTTATTTTATATAAAATTTTAATTTTTTTTATAATAATTACACCAATTCACAATTGACATAAAAAAGAAAAAGAAAACAACGCATAGCGTCTTGACCCTTAATTTCAGCCCTTTCTTCATTTGTTCTCATCTTTCTCTCATAAACTCTCTTTGCAGATCACTTTCTTGCATTTAGTCATCAATATTCCTCCTTTAGCCTCTCAATCTTTTTTCCAAGGAGAAGAGAAAATCATATTCTTTTAATGCATTTCTTGATCCTAAGCCAATAATTAAGCAAAATCCTTGGTACACCTTTCTTCACCAACCCAATCTCACACTTTATATATGAATAGAAATTTCACCAGGTTACAAATAATGAAAACTACGATAAAGTATTGCATGTATATATCAATGGTTTAATTAAATTCCTTGATTCCATCACTAGATTTTTTGGATTGTATCAAGAACTAACGTTAACGGTCAAGGGTCCTAGAAACAAAAATTGGGTGTGAGATTTTCTTGTTAAGGAAATGTATATATACCTACATTTCAATATATATATATATATACCTTCTTGTATCTTTTTGTTGCTTTCTATATTTATTCTATTCTTGCCATGTTATTTTTTATCCATGATTTGGCTTTAGGACATATATATCTGGCTATTTAGTCGATTTTTCATACTATCAATTTTTCATGTTATGTATGTTATGTATACATATAAATAAAAATTAGAAATGAACTAATGAACTCTCTACCATATTTTTTCATGCATGGCATAACAAGATATGCAGAACAATGCTATCACCATTATTTGGAGAGGTGGTTGAGGGCATTTTCCTTCAACTATCATATGTAGAAAGCCTCCATAACTGAATATATGTGTGTGTATATATTGTATAATGTTCTAGATGGGAGCTTGTCTAGTCACGACCAAACCTAGCATCCTATTCATGCTTAATTTCTTCTTGTATTAACTATTTACCTAAAAGTATATAATGCCTTAAATAATATATATAGAAACACGTAGTACATATCGTAATTCCTAAGCTTAATTCAGAAGTATGAAATTCACGACATCTGATAAAAAGTATGAAGGAAAAAGATTAGATTTAATATGTGATGAAAATAAAAGGTTCACATATTTCATGGTAAACGTTATAACGGTATCGTAAACATTATTTATGAATATGACACTTGACCGCACACAAAATGTTGTATGTCAATGATGTTTGGTGGTGCATCCTTTTTGTTTCTTTTGTGGAAAAAAATTTGAGATGAAAGAAAAAGGACCACATGTATCAAACTCATTCAAATTGGCATAGCAACGTGAAATATTACCGCAAAATGTGCGTGTGTATATATATATTAGCTGCCAAATTTGACCATTAGAGACTTTTTCATTGCACATGGCTAAAATCAACTAATAATCATTATCCAGTGTTTCATGTATTATAGCATGCAAATATATTAGACCAAAAGGTATATGTAGCCATCAAATTTGATCAAGAAGACATACATACACATATATATATATATATATATGTAGACTATGTAGTAGATGAAATCAGTCAATTTGAACGTCTTAATACTTCTTTAATTAGCAGGACAAAATCTGAAAAGGACATTGGTATGTATCATCATTTGTATTGTCTACATCTGCTCTTTGATTTGAAGACACTCCACAACAAATTCTTTTTCAACGAAAATAAATTTAAGTTACAATGAATTAGACATGCATAAAATCCATATAAAAAATGAACACTTTCTTTTAAACACTTCTATACCTATATATGATTTTATTTTTTGCTTTTTCATGTTAAAGGTGGTCTCAAATTGCGGCACGATTGCCTGGACGAACCGACAATGAAATAAAGAATTTTTGGAATTCGACGATAAAGAAGAGGCTTAAGAATCCGTCATCAACATCCTCACCAAATGCAAGCGATTCGTCGTATGAGCCTAGAGATATCACAGGAGGGCTCATGTCCATGGGGGAGCAAAACATCATGGCCATGTATTTGGACTCATCATCATCATCCATGCAAGCTATGGCCATGAACCGGTACATGATCGAACCAATGCCCATGTTCAAGCACGACGCAGGCATGTCCGGTGCTAGCGGATACTTTAATGCTCGTCCGTCATGCATGACACAAGTTGGAATGATTGGTAATGGGAATATTTTTGGGGATGATCAAGGGATGGTTGGGGTTGACAATATTGGGGTAGGAGAGCTGTTTGTTCCCCCTTTAGAGAGTATAGGTATAGAAGAAAATGTCAAAATTGAGAATTTTATGGATAGGGACACTAATAACAACCTTGTTAACTATAACATGAATAGTGTCAACCATTGCAACAACAATAACAAAGTAGAAAACATGGGTGGGTTTGGAAAAAATTGGGAGGGAGATGAGCTAAGAGTTGATGAGTGGGACTTGGAGGCATTAATGAAAGATGTTCCCTCCTTTCCTTTTCTTGATTACCATGTTGACTAAAATGCTTTCCTTCCTATATTTCCTTTGTCCTTTCCCTCCCTCCTTTTGCATTTTAAAGTATTTCCTCTCGTCAAAACCATTGACAATATTTTTAATATTACGTACCAAAGTACCCTTGAAAGCTTCTGTCATCCTCAGTTTAAGGCCTGGTCAGTGGAGACTTGAACTACTGTATTGTAATTTGGCCTTGAAAACAACTTCAGTGTTCAGATGATGTAGAAGGGTTAGGAATAAGTGACAGTGGAAAGTAGTTATATATACTTGTGGCTATATATGAAATTTCTGTGTAACTATGAGGGTAATCTGGTCATTCCAATGCATACTGGGTGGCTGAAATAATCATCATACTTGTGAAGAAATATGTGAATAGTCATGTAAAAGTAGATAGGGATATATATAAATATGTATGTATCAAGATTAGTTGGTAAATTGTAGTTATAATGAGATGTACAAATTAAACAATGTTGAGGTTGAAGCTGTTATTAGTGGGAGAAAAGCATTTTCTATTACACATTGATGAATACATAGAAAATCTCTCTCTCTCTCTCTCTCTCTCTCACACACACACACACACAAACACAAACACACACACTTAGCATTCTTCATAGAGTTGATTGCTTATTGTGGTCCTTTCCTTCCAAAGGACATGCACATTCATGAAAGATCATTGTTCCTACTAATGGGGTTTAATGATCGCTTTAGGTGAAATGTCACTTGCAATATGAAACCAAAGATATTGAAGAGTGTTATAAAGTCCGATTGCTCTCATTGTAATTTGGATCTTCTGATTATTATATTAGTTAGTTAGCATGAATTGTGGGATTCTAGAGTGATTATAACTAGCTCCTTGACCTTTAAAATATTGCTCTCTCTAAATCTAGCAAAAATATGGAATATTACATGGAATCATTAGAAATACAATCAGTGCAAATAGAAATATGGGCATGGCAACGAAGAACTTGTGCAAAAAGTAAACAAAAAGTAAGCAAAGAAAATGACTCTTAAACGTTGGTAGATATAAAGAGGATAAGGTGTCACAACTTTCACTTGAATGACACATATTGGAAATTGAGTGCTCTATACATCATTTCTACTTTAGATTATTTAACATAACATAACAAACATGTTTTGTGTATTAATTTATCTAGGAAGTTGTTATAATTTTTTATGCGACATGGTGACATATGATTACCTAGAATGTTCCTGTTATTATACTCGGATTTTTTGACATTTATAATGAGAAAAAAGTAAAAAGAGAATAATAAAAAAAAAACCAACAGTACCAATTTGAACTGTATAATTGAATATTTCATTGATAATTATTTATTTCCGTTTGGGTAAATTACACCAACAGATTTGTTTAAATTACAAGTAAATGGCAAGTTAGTCTGTAAAAATCCACAGAAACACCACGTCAAAGTCAGTGTTAGAATGACGTTAAAATTTGTGTGGAAAGTCATGTTTGTACTTTTAATTTATAATGGTTTTTTATTTAAAAAGAATTTGAGTATTAATTTACCATTCCATGCCATACCAATAACCCAACTTTTTTATAAGGAGCATTCCAAACTATTCAGCTCGCAAAAAAGCTAGAGAGTTCCACTTTTCACTCGGGTGGAGAGGGTCATCGGGCGTGCCAAGAACTGCTGTCGTTCCAAAGTGAATATTCGAACAATTATCCAGTAGGAGATTGCAGGGATCAGACGATTGTACGAATGACTGAAATTGCCACCTTCGGAGATTCTTTTTGCGTTGAAAAAGGACTTCTGGACTACTCTATGGCTAGTGGAAAGAAGTGCAGTATTGAAAGTGCAGGACTTCAAGTTAATGTGCTGGAAAGTAGGAATAATAAGTGCAGGACTTGAATTAAACATATTAAAGGTGCATTACATGAATGTAAAGATACATTTTTTTTTTCTTCCTAGTTGGGACTCACACACACTGCCTCCACCGAGGTTCGAACCCCTGACTTCCCTTTGGGAAGTAGGAGCCTTATACCGCTAGGCCACAGGCCTGTTGGTTAAAGATACATAAAATGTAATTGAAAGATAAGGTGCTATTTGGGAAGTAGGAGCCTTATATATATATGTATATCCAGAAATATATTTTGCTATCAACCAACTTCCCTCTTTTAGCCTCGTTGTTGAATTAGTCAAAAAATAGTGGTTGGGACCTCCTTAAATTTAGGAGAAAATCCACCCCACGTTCTCCTTCTTCTGGCTTGGTCAACTCTTAGTCTTGTTAGAATGGAAATTATCCATTTACTTGGAAACATGATTATGATCCAACAACAATTCCCTAAAGAATTGATATAATGTGGTAAGTTCCATAGAACTCGCAACGTGTCGAGAGCCAATTGGTTGACTTTGTCTTTAGAAATTTCCTAGGGTTGCCTTCATGGTAGTATTTCCATGTCATAATTCCTCTTTCCAAATCGGAATATGTGGACCCTTGATTTTAAAGATGGCAAGTCCTAATAGGACTCTCCTCTTCCTTTTAAAATAGAAAACTCCACATGGTAGGATTGTACTGGCCCATTTGTTTCTGATTACTATGTAAAATTACATAGCTTTAATACTCTGAATGAAATTTTATCAGAGTTGCGATCCAGCGTGGTAAGTTCCATTGGAACTCGCCACATACTTCCTCCTTATTAGTGGATAACACAAAATCAAGCTTCAATAATTCTATATTATGCTTCCTCTTTTGGACATTAAAGTACTAATCTAGTGTGGCAAGTTCATTGGAACTTGCCACATGTCGCCTTTCCATTGGGCAAAAAATAATAGAGTAAACACAAACTGGACCGAATATGATTTACTGTTCTTAGGAGGGGATTTTCTTCCATCTCTCTCCACCTGTCCCATGTACTCATTCACTATCTGTCTCTCAAATTTGTGGCTCCAATGCCACTCTAGCAATTAAGGCTAAAAAACTTAAAATTTCACTATGTAGATGTCCAAGATAAGCCAGAAAACCACACACGCAATGGCAATGAAAAGTCTCGATAAACTTTATCACTTTCTTCTCAACCTAAGCTCTGATACCAAATTATCATGACCCACTCACACTAAGGAGATATTGTCTACTTCGTACCCTCTTAATGCTCACGGTCTTCAAAATGCGTCTACGTACACATACATGTAGGATATATCCCCCCCTTATAAGTGCCAACAACTTTTCCTGCCTCCTTTGGCACAATATGGGATGTCATAATCAAACCCTAGTAGTTAAGGCTAAAAATTGTAAAGCCAACAATGTAAGCGTCTAAGGTGAGCCAAAAAAACCACCCACGCAGTGGCATTAAAGACTTTTAACAAACTGGATCATCTTCTTATTCCCACAGCCATCTGCAACGGTGAAGATTTGAACCTCTTTATCCACATGGCCTTTGCTTCTGACAAGCCTGAGACACTTATCTGCCACCTGATGGATGTAATTTGTTACCACTTAAAATTACCACTTGCAATAGTACATCTATCAATATAGAAAAGAGCTATTATAAGGGTTTGTCGAATCACAAGGATTGCTAGTTTATGGCAACCAAAGTTGTAAAATCACTTCAAGTTTGATTAGAGATATGATGATATGATTTGTTTGTCACTTAACATGAAATTAAAACTTAAAACAGAAAGTAAAATGATTCAATTGATTTGAGAATATAAAGAGAGAAGGCTAGGTAATTGACTTCAGCAAAACCTTATAAACATGCTAACTTGCATTCAGCTTGGGGATAAACAACTATGTATATAAAATGATGTGTAGAAGTATAAAACAACCACGACATCTTCCAGAAATTCATACATTTCAGAACTAAGCATAACCCATCTTTGGTTGGAATGGTTCATCCACCTAAACTAAGTTGTGGTATGAACCATCTTCCTTAGACATGGCCTATCATGGTCCTTCAATTGTATGTTGAAGCACATGAAATTCGATTATCTATCATAAATTATCTTCAGTTGGTATAGACCATCAACCTAACATAAATTAACCTAAAGGTGTAGCATGGTCCATCTTCCTTAAGTATAATCTATACAAATTCTCAATTAACATGCCAATATAACCATTTCATAAATTCATTCCCATTGTCATCATAGGAATATCAAGTGCATAATTGTGCCAATATGATTTCTAAGAAAAAATAAACATATCGATATAATTATATATTCAAATGAAGATCATATACATTAATTCAATGTATAAACACATCAATTCAATGTAAACAACTTCTAATTTATGAAATCAAATATATACAAGATGAATCCCCAAATTGAAAAGACAATTACAACATGTTTACTTGGTCTAAGTTACATCAACTCTATAGGAAAGGAGTTAGTTCCTCATGGATATGGCAGCAACTTTTAGGATTGAAGGAGAAGAAGATTTCCCCTGTAGCCCCATTGTTGCAAAACTCAGCATAAAACCCTAAGAAAATCCCCTCTCTCTGCAATATATTTTTCAATGATAATAATGATAGCTAATACAAACTTTTTTCCCCCTCTTAATCCCAAAATGGGCTGCCAAACAATCCTAACCCGTTGAAATTCAAATTTCCTAAAAAAAAGTAACAAACTTTGACCAAATCAAAGTGGGGACCCGTAGGCTGGCATCTGGACGCAAGATTTGGCGTTCGAACGCGAGGTGAACTACATGGCGTCTGGACACAGGATTTGGCGTCCGGATGCGAAGTGATAATGCATAGCCCAAATGCAACTGTTTTACATTTCTTGCTTTGGACCACTAAGTCCTTCTTCATCTAAATGTGTTGCTGAAAGTTTCCATAGGTATATTGGAACCTCTTTTCTTGACTAGCCCTAGATGTTGACACCCGGAATGCATTTGCTCTTCAAAAGCTCTTAAAGTCTTCTTTTTATTTCTTTTTGGAGAGTACAACCTGAAAATAGACAAAAACACAAAAATGAAGATAATTTATATATAAAGACCAAATAATGGACTTAACTAATGCAATTAAGGGCGCTTGAATATACAATATTGGACACTTATCACACCACCAAGCTTACATTTTGCTAGTCCCTTAGCAAAACAAAAATGAAACACACTATAAACTATCCAAATTTCTCGTCTTTCGTGGGAGTGACGATTGCATTTAGCATATGCAATAAGCCTTTTAAACCCCTAGGTATCCCTAGAGGATGAGTGAAGTCTCGTGAGGGTTTACCAGGAACGATACCTACAAACATTAAGTAACAAGGCTCATTCTAGTATAAACTGAAACATATGACTTTGGGGAAAGACTCTATCATGAAGACTACAACAAGTATGCATACAATGACATCTCAAAACAATATTCAATTCCCAACATTCATACATAAACAAAATAGTCCACATACGTGATCCTCAATATCTCATTTATAATAAAATTTCATCTCAAGTTCCTTAGAAGTGAACCAAAATTTTATTTTCTTTTAAAATGCCCTTTTAACCCTTTTATGGCTCATACAATGTCTTCCACATCTTTAATTTATCTTTTGAAATCATAATC